GGGGGGGGGGGGGGGGGGGGGTGAGTGAAATTGGGTGGTTCCTCCCCCTTAATTCTTGTACACACTCACGTTTCATTCACTTTGCCCAGTGCTCGTGGGATTTTTTTTTTTTTCATCCCCATGGGATAGTTTGAATTTTTTTAATGAAATATTTGTACTTACCGCAGGGGTGAATACAGGTGCGTCGTTCGTGGTATTCGATCGATTAGGATGATAGTGCGGAACGTTTAGGGGATGGTGAATTATTGAAAATTATGGCGGGGTCAGAGGAATTTAATTTATCGTAACAATTTGGATCACCAAGCTCGATTGTTTCCACGGAGAAATTTTGTCAACAGGAAGTGGGGTGGTGTTACAGTTGATATCTGCTATCAATCTTTGCGATTCTTTTGCAGTTTTATGACTGTTCCAGATTATATTCAGGAATTTGTTTTCTATCGGATGCTTACTACCCTTATGAGATTCGATCTCTGTATCTTCACTGTCTCTATTACTTTCGGCCATCCCAGGACCACTACGGGCCAATCTTTTCTTTTTTTAGGTTCTTCAAGGATTTACACTGGCCGTTTTTCTTATCTGGAGTGTTTCGTATCGTTTTAATTTTTTATTTATGTTTTGCGTTATCCTCTTTCAGTATTCGTTCCCTTTCCGATGGATTATTTTATTGTTATAATTTTTCAAAATTATTTCATACTCGAGGATGTATGTTGGGTAAAGAAAAATTTTTATTTCTATTCATTTTCATTAATTTTCAATGTTTCAAAGTTTCAATGTTAATTAACATCTCATTGTATACGCAGTGTTATTCGTACAGGTTCATATAGGATTGTATACAGATGGTAAAGTATCTTTTATGAAGAGAGACGGGGATGCTGGGTCGAGAAAGTAAGATTGATTGATTAAATTTTTTTAAATTTGCCCACGCGAACTGTTTTTTTTTTACATGAACGAATAAATCAAAGATTTTTGGGAATGGCGATATTTTAATGATGTCTGGTTAGAAATTTCGAAATCCTCGGTGAATACGTGAATTCCAAAAGCGGTCTTACGTTACTAAACCTCGTGACTGTTAAAAGGCATGGTTTTTAGAATTTGTATCATGGACTTTGACACAAATTAATGGCTGACGCCTTAATGCCTGTTAAACCATACGAGTAAGAGCCACGTGGTAAGACGTAGAAATAATTAATACTTTTTTTTTTTAATATTTAGTAACATTTTCTTGAACTATCCAAATAACAAGTTTACCTATTATTATTTGAAGACACATGGTATGTAGGCCGGGTAGCATATGGTAACAAAATTTTGAATTTTTTCTTGGATTCAAAAATGTCAATTTCACCTGTATCGTCATTATGGTTATTAAGGATAATTGTGTCACCCGTTATATTACGCGAGTTCAAAGTTTACCCTCTATAGTCGACTCGTATACTCTTCGTCTAATGTATATGCTATTAGTCATAACTTCAATGCGGTTCTCCACGTGTCCCCGGAGACACGTGCTGGGATATCGCTGTTGCCACGAGTGCCGCAGGGTGTACCGGGTGTTTGAGAAATATTGACGTAACGGTATAATGTCATGTATTTCCTAAGGTCAATGGTTCTTGACCATTGAAATCGATGGTCGGAGGTCATTGACTCTACTTTAAGGTTAACCTAACGAACCTCACGTAATTAACAGTGCTAATGTTTCGGACAATCTGCCACGTGAATTACTGGCTTCCGTTTTCCTATGTATATTAAAGCTTCCTCCATCGCTACTAATTAGCTGGGCTAATTATGCTGCTATTGTCGGTGGCTACTATTTCAGTTAAGGATTTCAATTTACATTGTTGGAAATCGCTTGGTTGGTATCTGTATTGTGTGTAAAAAAAAAGGTTTTTCGGGTATCAAACATTTTCATCGATTTCAATGTATCGATTATATCTATAGCTTGGATTATTGGTGTCGTTACAAGGTTCCCGTTAATCATGGTACGCTTTGTTATCTGTGGAAAATCGTTAATTGCTCTTGTGGTTAATTAATACACGTTTAATTAACAGTCAATAGATGATGGAGTATATGGACAAAATATACATATCTGATGTTTATAATGGAAATGGAGAATGGGAAAAATTTTATCACGTCGTTATTACATCAGTTTGTTATAGATGGTTAATTTTCAAAATAATCCGAGCACGTTATGTTTAATTAATTGGTGATTAATTTGAATTTGTAATAGATTTTGGAATGAGGCTTTAAAAATGATTTAATATGTATTTTGAATTTTGGTTGTTCATATGGTATGTTTTGTTAGTTAATTAGTGTATCGATTTACCTTTTTATAATCAATAATAAGGGATGAGATCCAGATAGGGGTTGATGATAATTTGCAACGTCAAACTCTTTATGGAAATTTGAGCCTTTTCGAGGCAGACGGCTTTCCTCCTATTAGTCGAATGCAATCGCCCGCGGACTCGCATGCAGTATTCAGTAGGGATTTTCCGGGATATTAACTTCCAAAATTCACTGGGATTTCCCACTCTCGGCCGAATCCCTATTCGACGGGTCTCGAATACATTACGCGGCCTCCATGAATAGGAAAACGATTTCTACATAAAATCCACGGAGTCTCCTTGCTTCCTTTTTGAATAGTTGATATTACATATAGCCAATATATTACGCGTATGGACGACATGCATTAGGTATATTATACGTACATATAATGCACTATAAGTTGCTGCATGGACGTGGATAAAAATGGAATTCTTTTTCATAGGCTCACCCGTCTGAAAACTCTTTTAAATTTATTTCCGTGCCCGGACATATGGGTTCTCCTAGAACAGCCATTTTATGAAGTTACAGTAGTCGTTGGGTCTTCTATGAGCGTGCCTGAAACAAATCGTCGAAAAATTGCGTAGACTATTTGTTCCCTGTAACGACGTACACTTTCCAATAATGGTTGAAAATCCCAGGTGGCAGCAACCGTTTCAACCACAAATACCCGAGGCAAATATGCAGAGCGCGAGAGATTCATGCGTCTAGCGATTTTCCAATTTCCAGTTGCTACTCTGTCGAGAGTAATACATTATGTGAGGATACGTGCTGAGTATAGACTATGTAGAGGGACATGTTGTCGGGTGAGCGTCCCGCGTAAGACTGGGTATAGTTGAGCTCTGCGCATGCGCGAAGATTGTTATGACTGCGCGCACAGTCCGGCTAACGTTTCCACTTGCATTCTTCTTCAGACCTTCGTACGTGCTGTACGAACACGCCGTTAAGTTGATACGACGAATTAGCGTATTGACATATCGCAATTTCGGACAATTTAAAAAGGAAATCAATGTTAAACTATGATGTTATTTCAATCGCTGGAGTTATCAGTGCGAAAGGTACACGTGTTACTGGATTTTAGTGAAACCTTATTAGAATAATTAGGTGGACACTGGGGACGGTTATTATTTTTGTATCTCTTGACGTACAATGGCTTTCCCAAGATGGCGGCTGTGCCTTTAATCTTACGCAATGGAAAATTTTGTCCATCGACTCTTGCAAAGCTTTGTCTAGTTGATCCTCTTTTATACTTACGTCCATCGTGCACCGTGATTAATGTCAAGTATCGGGCATTGCGATCCTTTTCATTCGAATGCCTCTGGACTTCGCGGGTTCATTCAT